CTTCTAAACTTAGCTAGCCACAAACGCTGACCCAATCATACTAACAATATTTCTTGCACCAAAACAACACATTCTTACTTACCTTTCTCACCACACCCACCATAATACCTCAATGACTCTGTAGAATCTCCCACAACACAACCAGCCTTACCTCTTTGTAGGAAATACACTCTTCCTATCTAGTAAACCAAATTCTACTTTCAGACAATATAACAAGTAGTCATTGGTCAATCACCTCCAATCTGGCTTGCTGATTGGTCAGTTCCGACCAATCAAACCGCCTGCACGCGACCAAGCTGTTTTCCCGCTCTTATGCTGGGAGCCACTCAGTGATTATATAAACAGAAAACGTGTGAACCTTCCGAGCAGTAATTACCAAGTTTCAAGATGTAACATTCACCGACTCCCGTCTTAGTCATTGCTGACCAGACGTTAAAGACAATTACCAACTTTATGCAGTCAGTAACACGCATTCACAGAGAACCTTCCAAAATATTCCACGTCACTACGAATCACAATTTTGCCGCGCAAAAAGATACATCGCTGACTCATACGCGATCAAGCATTAATCAACTCTGTGTACATCATTTCTCAACTTTGCTTATCTAAAGTGAATCAAATTCACTACTTATTAAGTAAACTCTACGAACGAACGACCTTAGAAAAATATTACAGTTAAAGGTAGATCATTCTTAAAAAACTCTTTCTATAAGACACTTAATATCAACAATCGCAAATATCGACACACACAAAAAAATACTCCAAATGAACGAACAATTACGAAGAGAGACATTCTGAAATCTGAAGAAACCGCATAAACATTTCGCCTACACAACATACATCAATTATCCTGTCTGTATATTGTTTGATTTGTATATAAATGTTGTATTGATTTCTAATTGAATATGTCTCGTTTTTCAATTGCATTTTAAATTTCATTTAATTATTTGTTTGGGATGCAGAAAGTCACTCAAATTCCTTCTGATTCTTTCTAACCTAAATACTAACTTCTGCACGTCCCCAACAACTCCATGAAAATACTAACTAGACCCCATATGTACAATTTGTGGTCTTTCGTGGGAGGGTAATAAAACAACAATTTAAAATTTTAAAAAGTAACCCCAATGAGTATTTACTGTATGAAACAAATAACTATTTACAAGAAACTAAACAAAATCGTGTTAGTAATAAAAAAAAAAAAACCACAATCATTAAATGTGGCAGAAACATCAGTTAACTAGACGAAATTAATGCGGGACTATAAAAATTAAAAACATTCATTCATCCCAAGCACTCACACAGACATTCACAGACAACAACAGATACGAAAAATCACACGAAAAACGCCCAGCATCCACCAGAGAAGTGACGTCACTGACCACCTAACGAGGGAGGGGACCGGGAATTAAACTTAAAGAAAGATAGGAACAGAAATAAAAGTGGCCAATGAGCATACATACCCTAGCTAAGTTTACTGAAAAAGGAAACTAAAGACTCAAAAAACTAAACCTAAGCTAACCTATATTTTGGGGTGGGTTGCCCGTGTTCAACCCACCTAAAGCATCGAAGTGCCACCATGTCAGCCCCTTTCACACGACACAAACGCGCAAGATTCACCCACCTTTTGCCGAATTCAGATGAAGACAGTCGCCGCCTTTCCGACCTAATCTTGACTTTAAGCTGATGCTTAAAGTACAAGATCAGCTGGGAAGAGGTAAACTTCTCGCCTCCATAGAATCCCTTCTGACGTGTCGTCCAAATCACGACTCTCATAACACCTAGTAAGCATAAGAACACATAGTGTTCAGCCCTCGTCAACAAACAGAAAGGGCCTCAAGGACAAAGAACATTCCAGACAGCATGCGAACCGTGAGGCCTTCAACATACTTGCACAGCGGAGCTACTACCGAGCAATGAAAAAAGGCGTGACCAATGGTCTCCACGTCCCCACTACAGCGGCGGCAGTTTGGATATTTCTCCAAACCCGCTAAGCAAAGTCTTTTGGCGACCCAGAAGGCCCCACGCATCACCAGCCAGGTGAGTGATGCCTCATTGTTATTGAGACATTTCAACCCGGGCACCCAAGGCCATATCGAGCGAGCCTCCCGCTTCGTAAGACTGAGCTCGTCAATCAAATCATCACGAACGCCCCCCCACAACTAACACCTGATATAATACCTTACGAGACAACGTCTGGGCGTTGGAGAGGCCATCCAACGCCCGTAAGAGTCGTTTCAGGGCACAACGACATTCACGGTAGAAAGAGCATTCGGCTTTGGGTAAACAGTGAACCTCCTCCTCGGCCGAGCGCATACTTCTCAAGGATGGGAAGTTCTTACGAGCGTCTTCCTTCCAGAAGGCACCCACCTCATCCGGTTCGTGACACATTCAATCCAGGAACCCGATGCGAAGCATATATTGACGAATCTCAATGCTAGGCATACCTAAACCGCCTGCAGATGGATGAAGGCAACAGATCTACCGAGAGACTCTGGCAGCCTTGCCTCCCCACAAGAAGGAGAACAAGAGCTTCATTAACGCCAGTAAACTGTCATACGGAAGTGGAAGCACAGAGAGTCGGTAAAGGAGAATCGGGTAGCGCCAGGTAGGAAAATTCCGCGTAGGACCGAATTCGTCTTTAACTTGCGAAGGAAAGGTTCCAACGCAAGAACGTACAGCAAAGGCGAAAGCGGACAACCTTGACGAATGGAGCGAGACAATTCGAAAGGCTCCGATCGTACCCCATTCACCTCCACCAGTGCACCGGGGGTCGAATACAGAAGTCGTATCCAGATGCGAAAGTACGGCCCGAAAACGGCCGCCGAAAGAACAACCTCCAGAAACCGATGGTCAACCCTATCGAAGGCCTTGGACTGATCTAAATTGATCAGCGCGGCTTCACTGTCGACTTGCTCGATGATCAAGCGTACCATATGAAGGTTGTCCTGAATAGTCCCGCCCTTCACAGCACAAGTCTGTTCGGAGCCAATCAGACTAACCAGGACAGCCTGCAAGCGGTTCGCTAAGACCTTAGCCAAAATCTTTAACTCTGTATTTAACATAGTTAAAGGGCGAACTCATCCACATCGTCTTTATCCTTACGTAACAACTTGATTACGTCCCTGGTGAAGCGTTGGGGTATAGACCCCTGCTTCAACCAGTTGCCGAAAATCAGTACCAGCAAGGGAACAAAAACGGGCGACTGCCTCAGGTACACTTCGTACGGAAGACCATCTAATCCCGGAGATTTGTCCAGGCCAACCTGTTTCAGCGCATCTCAGATTTCCGACTCTGTTATGGGATCCTCGCACCTAGCCGCTTCAGGTGCCTCAAGGCAGGAGAAGTCAGCTAAATAGGCGTCGAACTGGGCAGGCCCCAGACCGGGCTTCCTGGTGAAAAGTTCCTGAAAATGCTCAGGAAAAGCCTCACATATGCTCTCGTTTGTAGTCATGGTCCGCTTATCCGGCAATGTGGCGCATGCGATATGCCGCCGAGATGCACTCCGAACCTCCTCTGCACGCAATATTAGTTGCCTCAGAAGACATTCTTTTTAACCTAGCCCTAACTACCAGAGCTTGATCCTTCTTGATAAGCAAGGAGGCAAACTCTGCCTTAGCTAAGACTACGTCCCCACTATCACAGGATTTAATCGCCCGATCAACTTTTTGCTCACAAGCCGTTTGCGCCGCTAATCTATTTAGATTGAGCCGACGACTATAATCAGCAGCAAACGTTCTAATTTTGGATTTGAGTTTATCCCACCAAGCATTTCTCACCACAGCCCCCGTCAGTTCCCTTTGTATCATTAGTAACAACTGGTCCCGGAAATCTTGCTCCCCAAATAATGAGCAGTTCAATTACCAGTAACCAGCCATCTTAACCTTAGGCTTATCTAAGTTTACCCGGACCCGGACTAGCCTATTATCCGAATAAACTATATAATGGAAACTTGGACACCCTAAGAGCCCTACATCGACTCTCCTGACTAAGACTCGGTCCAGGTAGCTAAAAAGCACCTGAGTACCCGGACGGCATTCCAATCCCTCGCTAAAACTACCCGACGAGATGACGCCAAGAACGGCTCGATCTGCCGAAACAAAGCAGGCCGCTCAAAATGCTTATTGGGCGCATAGACTCCAATGAGACGTAGAGCCTTATCCTTTATGGTAACATCCAGCACGCAAAGTCTGCCCGCCGGATCTGCGAAGGCAAGAGCACACGCAGAATTCAATGACTTGCTCACCAGTCAAGAGACACCCTTCGAGCGTCCATCGTAACATGCTGAATAGAGGGAAAAGAATGCTGTCATGATCGTGAGAAGAAAAACGGGTCTCTTGCACACAACATACATCCACCCCAAGATGCTGAAGGTCATGATAGAGCCGCGCCCTTCGAGACTCGGACCTCAAACCTCAGGTATTCAAACTAGTTAACCAGAGAGACATTGTCAGACCGATTAGGGTTGCTCTGCTGGATTAAACATGGTCGGGGAAAGGATACCGACAGCCTCTCCCATCAACCCATGGCCCATCTCAGTTTTGATGGTACCGTCTTGGGAGAGACCGCCAAAATCCCAGGGGAAAGTCAATTTTAGTGCTCTATAGAGAGAGGGGTGAACGAAAAAAGGGACCCGCCCAGCACAAATTTGTTTCAACTTCTTTAGCTTGTCGTTCTGAACAATTGCTATGGGAGGCATCATTTTGAACGAGGCTATTGCCTCATCCAACATTGCCCAACATTGACGCGCTCCCGTGCCAGTTCTTATAACGGTCAATACCCGTTGGGTCTTTGGAAAGTTTTTCGGATTCTCAATGTCTTTGTCGGCGTACTGCTAGATAGAGAGAAGATATTTTAGGTTTTTAATCCTATTGCCATAATCCATGGATTTCTCCGCTTGAGTCGGGGAAATACGGCAGATGTCTTCTGCACTATTGTAGATGTATTTGGGAAGTTTTTTCTTTTGTCGTTTGCGTCCTGATTGGGACTTCTTTGCCTCTTACTCATAGGAGGGGGCATTTCAGGTGTGTTAAGGGGTGGTTTAAGGGGTGAAGGACTGGGAGAGGGACAAGGAGTAAAATTTTGTCGCAAAGGGCTGGGGTCTATTGAGAGGGGTTGAGGAATGGGAGGAAGTGGAGGAAGTGACCTTTTGGATAGTAGGGGTCTTGACAGGAGTTCATGGTTGGGAGGACTGTTTTGTGAGTATGTGGAAGGAGCAGCTTCTTTCATAGGTTTGGTCTTTTTTGGGTGAGAGGGAAGTGTTTCTTCGGAGGAGGTAACAGGAGTGGTCTTTTTAGATTGAGCGGCCTTTTGTGAATTTCGCTATACTGCGACAGGAAAGCCGCTAGGCGTTCCCCGATAACTCGACGAGGGACCTCGTATATCGCCTACACCTGCCTTCATATTCTGTTCTCAGAATAATATCCTTGGTGATTATCTTTCGAGTTGTCATTTTCAGGCAATCTTCTGGTGTGGGTAGCAATATGTCCCACATGAAAAAGCCAGAACTCTTAACGATTCTTAGTGGCTTAAACCCCTGGGACTCCAGTGTTTTTACCACTGTGTCATTTGTCGAACAGCAAATCTTGTGCGTACGCTTATCGACGACGAAGACTGACACTATTCGTTTCTCAATTTTCTTCATTTCTTTGGGATCCTCCAAGAGCCCACCTTTCACGACAAAGTGTGCGTAACACTTGACATGCTTCAATAACTCCGCGATATCGATTATACACTTCGGGGGGACTTCCAACAACAGGGAAATTCCCCGGCCTTATCACTGGTCTTATCGGTTTCCATATTATTTGATGGTGATACTTGGTCTGCTTCTTGGCCACTGTACTTTTTTATTTTGGCCATTATTGGCCACTGTAGATTTTTTCTTTCTTTCTTGGCCATTATCGGCCTCCATACATTTTGGGGTTTTTGTTTTTTCTTTGCCATTATTGGCTTCGATATATTTTTAGATTTATCTTGGCCTTTATGGCCACCATACTATTTAAATTGCCAGCAGTGGCGTCCTCACAAGAGGAAGAAGATTCCAAGGCCGGAAACTCCTCTAAACTGTCTTTATCAGGCGGGTCTTTTTTGGGGTTGAAGGAAGCCATTTTAGGTTTCTTTTTTAAAATTAAGAAAGAAGGTACTTTCTTTTCCATTTTGAAAGGGAAAGGGGGGAGAAAAGAGTGAAAATAATGAACAAGTTCCGCTTTTATAGGCGAAACTAAAAATTCAAGACAAAATAAACAGACAAAAACAGCAGGTGACAGTGTGGAATCTTCCACAACAAGCCAGTTAACCCCTACTAGGAAATGCACTATTCCTGTTGTAATTGTCACCATCACAATCTTGCAAATATATAACAAGCATTCATTGGGCAATCACCTTCAATCTAGTTTGATGATTGGTCAGTTCCGACCAATCAAACCGCCTGCACGCGACAAATCTGTTTTCCCGCTCAATATGCTCGGAGCCTTCCACGTGATACACGACCATTATAAAAACGGAACATGTGTAAGCTCCCTGGGTTGTTTCTTTTCATTCATCTCTCTCGCGTCTCATTCCTCATTTGCCAAGATGTAATCTTCAAGAACTCCCGTTTAACTAATGCAGTCAGACGTTAAAGACCTATACCAACATTCACGAAAGAACGAACTCTGAAATCTCTTCAGAACTTTTACCAACTTGCACAATACACAGTTCCAAACATGCTAAAGGAACTTTATTCTTCTAAACTACAGTTTAATAATTACTTTCATTTTATGAACTTGAGTTTTGTTTTGTGTATGTTTGTTTTGTCCCTTGTAGGCTGTGTGATTGCGATGTGTGTTTAAACACGTCGACGAAAATGTACTTGTGTACCGTGTCATCAGAGTGCTGTAGAATTCTGTAGTGGCTCAGCACGCCCTGGAACATATGTCGATAGTGTAGTAGAAAGACATGTGTAGCGTATGTACCAAATATAGCGTCGGGTCGATTCACTAAATGTAGCAAGAACACCGAATATATAGGTACTACTACTATTTATATTAATGATTCTTCCACATACAGGATTCAAGAAATAATAGCAACAACTCCAATTTGTTAACCAACAAATATATATTGAATAAAATACAACAAGCATAAAATAAAATCGTATTCACAGTGTAGATTAAATGAAATAAAATCGTATTCACAGTGTACATTAAAGAGAAGGAAGTTATTTCCCTTTGACTGTAGATTGATTGTAATCAACCTTTTGAAGAAAGTTCTCTTGTGAGATTAATGTTCCGAAATAATGGTTAGAGCAAAGTTTGCATGTGAAGAATGAATAACACCAAGAATACAATTGCTTGAAATGTGTTGTGAATAAACTGGTTTGAATCAACAAAGTTCTGGTTGATTGTGCTTGGCGAAAGTTGCAGAGAGAAAATGTAAGTGTGTAGTTACGAAATTCTGTGTCTGTGTGTGCGTTAGAGTGTGATAAGCAAGATCGTGGATTTGTGTTGACGGCTGGGATCTCACTGGATCTTACTGGCGACTTGCGAAAAGTTACCCTATTTAAGAAAAAGAGGTAGGCTCCCACGGAACCACGGGAAAACTTGATCTTACATTAAAAATATGTGATTGGTTAAAAATTAAATTTCTCGGGGATGTAGCTATCTCTGTGTATTATTAGATCATACTTGCAGATTTCTTAGATTGTTCGTGTTAACATCTTTGAAAAGTGAAAAAGGTCAGTGAGTCGCCTTTGGAATTATTTCACACTTTATCTGTTAGCCTAGGAGAAACAGTAACGTTTAAAATTGAGAATGGAGTTGACTTTCGTGGTGTTTGAATGGTATTTTCTCGTGTGGTCTTGAAGAAAATGAGCCGTATTTTGCTTGCTCTAAAGTTGAAAGTCGTATTTTTCGTTTTGGTGAAAGGCAGAAAATAAAATGTTGACGAAGACCGAACGAAAGGTGGAAATTTAAAAAATACGCTCAGACCGAAACCAAGAAGAAAAAATATCTAGAAAAAATGCGGCATTTGCAACCGGCTACATGACTGGGTGTGGTGTCCATTAAAAGGACTAATTTGGAAAAATGCAATCACCTCAGTCATCTTGTTATATGTTGCAGGACGAAAATAAGCAACGTCTGGGAAATAAACACGACAACAGGGAAGAATATTTTTATGCTCATTCACAGAGAAAAATAAAACGCTCGATCCATAGTTCGCTAATTTGAAGATTTGTGGTAGCCACCTAAAGTTTAAAATAAAGTCTATTTTAAACTTTAGGTGGCTACCACAAATCCCACAGGAGCAGACATTACAGTAATAAGCCACAAAACGTATAAAAATCTTCGGAATAGACCGCCTTTAAGGCCGACAGAAGAAATATTTAGAAGTTCAGGCTGCACATTATCGTAGATTTGCACACCCGCAAAATCGGATCAAAACGACTAAAAACAGATTTCGCAATAAGGTGTGAAATTAATTTTCTGACCAATGAAAGGAGGCGATTTGCTAAACTAAAAAAAAAAGATAACAATCCAGTGTGAAAAAAAATGTCAGCTATAAATAGAGAGACACAAGTCAATCACCAGTCAGAAGGGCGCAGAGATCATAGAGGACAGAAGATTGACAGACAGGTCCGTCAATGACTCAACTAGACACTAAGAGCAGAAAGTGGGGTAGGAAAGGAAAACAATAACAACAACAAATTTACAACTGACTCCAAAACAATTCAACCCGATAAGTACATTTTCCTCTTATCTTTTATTTCTCATTCACACTCTCTTTTTCAACTTAAATTGATCACCCCTTTTTCCTTTCTACCTACTCGGCGGATACATTCGACCAGACCAGCTACGTTCACCTGCCAATCCTAAACTACCGGACCAGACCAGCTACAATCGACCGAACCAGCTACGTTTGCCTACCAGGCCAGACCAACTATATTCGACCGAACCAGCTACGTTCGCCTACCAATCCTAAACTACCGGACCAGACCAGCTACAATCGACCGAACCAGCTACGTTCGTCGATCAACCAGTCTTCGGACCACACCGATGTAAACGTGTGAATAAATTCTACACTTTTGTTCATAAACCGAGGAGAAGGATTTCTACACGGACTTCCACGACGCATAAAGGGAAAAATTACATATTCGAGGTATATATACTAAATGGTCGGGACATAGAAATCCCATCTGATGGGAATGGTTATTAAAGATGGCCACATCCAAAGATACACATTTTGCAATCGGCACCGTCCGTCAAAAACCCATGAAACATTAAAACCGACATTGTATTGTAGATGCTTTGGCAGAAAATAGGGACAAATATTTTCACACTCAACAGACGGAATTGCCTAGCAGCAATCGACTATTTTTCATGCTACATAGAAATAGCCCGTTTCGATTCACTTACCAGCACCAATGTGATTGGTAAATTAAAAAATGTTGCCAGATGGGGGATCCTAAATGAAGTGATCAGTGACAATGGAACTCAGTTCACCAGCTTCAGTGACTTTGCATCGAAATACAGATTTACACACATCACTATAAGTCACCACTTTTCTCAAGCGAATGGAGCAGCAGGAAGTTAAAATCGCAAAAAGACTCCTACAACAACCAGATACTTTCCTGGTCCTAATGGCATACCGTAGGACACCGATATCGGCTACAAAAAAAAAAAGAAAAAAAAAGAAGCAAGTCCTGCGGAGTTGATAATGGATAGGAAAATAAGGTCGGTACTACCAAGCCACTCAATCTTAATCCGAAATGGTCTGACTTGGAACGAGTTAGGGAGGCAGATTCTTCAGCGAAAAGTCGGTGTTTTAGCACCATGTTTTCTGTCGTAGTTCTGAAAAAGAACTACGACACAACAGCTGATCACCAGAATAGGAGATACAGCATCCGGACAAGTTCTGGAATCATCCGTCGTAACAGACAACATATTCGAAATGTTGGTGAGGAAGGAGGATTCCAAATAGAAAGGATACTCCTACCGACAGAATTTCAATTTCATAATAGTCACGAAAGAAACAGAAATGAGAATCTTAACAGAAAGGATTCCAATAGAGCGACATAAATAGTCTAAGAATACGCCAGACCAGGACAGGTGTCGTCCAAAGACCAAAAAAAAGAAAAAGTGACTATGTACATAAAAAAAGAAAAGAAAAGAAGGAAAAAAAGACTAAAAATTATTTATAAGTTTTATGGGTAAGTAATCAGGAACATTAAAAAGACATTAAAAAGATAATAATAGTGTGGAATCTTCCACATTAGCCTTTAACCCCCTTCAGAAAAATGTATTCTTCTCTGAAAAGCCTTTAACCAATCATCTCGTTTTTGCGAATCCAATCTTTTTATTGGTTAATAAACACCAAAGTATATACGGAGGAAAAAGAAAGAAAAAAAAACTTGTTCGTCACAATTTCGGCGACAAAATCTCAGATTCACACTGATTCACAAAAAAAAAACTTGGCAAAGTTTTTCGAAAGACAAGACGTCAACCTAGTGACGAAAAAATAAGTCTTATTCTCAACTGAGAAAAGATTTTTTTTAAAGACAGTTTGCTTAAATAGGTCACGAATTGCAAATTCGTTAGGACCCCCTTCTACAATATTTAAGCATTGTGTAAACTTTTTGCGAAGATGGAGGAATGCAAAAATATATTCCAGGAATTTTTAAAGTTCCAGATGTAACAACGGATGACAATATTAGAGCAACAGAAAACATTCCAGATGCAACTACAGGAGGAAACTTTTAATAGACAGATGTAGTTTCAACGAAACATGGAACTGATGCATAAAGAGTTTCAAAACAAAATTCTGGAAATAACTGAGAAGAGGAAAGAGAAAAACCTACAAAATAGAATACAATATGGAATTCAATTGAAATATTCGCGTACAGACCAGATGAAGAGATAACTTTTGAGGAGTATTATAAAAGATATACGGACGTGTATAACGAGGACTGACACTCGTGGTCTGAAGGAAAGAAGGTTAGACTTCTTTTAAGCAAGTTAGGAACTGCTGAGAATAACAAATTGGTAAACTACATTTTACCGAAAAAAATAGCGAGTTGACATTTACCGAGGCGGTAAATATATTAAGTGAATTATTTAGTAAAAAGACATCTTTGTTTCACAAGAGGTGGAAATGTTTGAATCTGATGAAAGATGACGAACAAGACTATATAACATACGCAGCCAATGTGATTAAGCATTGAGAAGAATTCAAGCTAGCAGAGTTAAGCGCTGACAATTTTAAGTGCTTAGTGTTTGTTCAATGGCTGGTATCGTAAAGAGACGCAGAGTTGAAAAAAATACGTGCGGTCAAAATTGGAAAACGAACAAAGTCTTACGATACAGAAGTTGTCAGAAGACTGCACAAGATATGTTAGCGTAAAGAAAGATTCGAAAAAGATAGAACAGTCTGGCGTTTCGCATGTAAGGAAAATACGCTACAAAAAAAGAAAGTCAGTCTACCAAAAAGAATTCTAAAAATGCGGATTATCAAACAAAAAATGAAATACTAGAGAAAAATAAACAAAAACTTCCGAAGCCATGTTTTGCTTGCGGTGAACTTCACTGGTACAGATATTGCAATTTTAGGAATAAAAAGTGTTTCAACTGTAAAAGAGTAGGTCACAAAAGCTCGCACTGCAAGTCAAAAAATAAAGACAATAAAATAAGAAAATTAAAATCCGACGAGGTGAACGATGGAATAACCAGAAAATTTGTTACCGTCGAAATAAGTAATAAAAAAATAAAAATGCAACTCGACACTGGTTCCGACCTATCTGTCATAAATTTGCATACGTGGAAGAAGTTGGGGAAACCAACTTTAATGAAAACAAATAAAATCGCGAAGTCAGTGACGGGAGGAAAAATACAATTTATTGGAGAATTTGTTACAAACGTCACGTTAAATAAAAAAAACGCGAAAAGCTAAACTATTTGTCATAGAAAATACCACGAACTCACTTGGTACGAATTGGATAACAGAATTTCAATTATGGGATCTACCAATAAATTCTTTCTGTTACAAGGTAGATTTTTTAAACTACGAAGCTCAAAAATTAGTAAAGAAACTAAAGGGAACATTTCCTACAGTTTTTTCTCCAGGTTTGGGATCGTGTACCAAGATGGAGGAAAAATTACAGCAAAAATAAAACGCTCAGGCGGTATTCAAAAAGATAAGGGATGTTTGCTTCAATTGAACAGATAGATAAAGAATTGGACAGATTAGAGAAAACAGGTGTATTTAAAAAAGTTGAATGGGTAACACCGACGATATACGTGAAAAACAAGCTCCAGAAAGTAAAGATGAAGCCGACACCGAGAAAAACTGGGGAGCAAGTTACCCGCAGCCAAGGACATGGAGTATTATTAAATGATTTAAGTCAACTGAAGTCACTACAGAAAACGTTAAGAAGCACAAAATCAACAAAAGGGAAGCTAGAGGCCGAACAAATAGAACCTACAGAAACTGTGACTCCATCCTTAAGAAGCTCAAAGGTGAAGGGGTTGTTTCTGGTAACACTATGGAGGTATAAAAAAAAATACAAAAGTGGATTGGCTATATGATGTACTTGGTGAAAGGCGAAAAATTCACTTGCAGTAAACAGATCAGACGAAGTATTTCAGATGTGGTTGACAGCGGTCCCGCGGGAAAAAACGCCGATGGAGGTGATTTTTCGATACGTTTGATCTAACAACGCCTGCAACAATTTTACCTGGGGTACGCCGATCCAGAAGAAAAAAGAAAGGCAACTGATCATTTAAAAGTGGATCAAAAAACGTAGGAAATACGCTACGATGTTGCTAAAAAAAAAAAATTTTTTTAAATGAATTTTTTTAAAAATGAATTTTTGTTGTTGTTTTTCTTCATATTTCCTGTAAAAAATGAAAAATAAATAAAGAAAACCGTTTACTCCTACGGAGTAAAGTTTTAGGGGGGATGTTATAGTGGAACACACCTATTCTATTATTAATAGACTCTCCCATATATAATAAGTAAGAGTAGTAGAAGTCGCTCAGTGAGTTGGTCAGTCAGTCGATGTCGGACGACCGTTAGTCGGATACTAAAAGTATCAGCGACCACCACTAGATTTCTCTGTGTCATTACTTATTATATCAAGTTTCTAACGTTTTGTACGTCGAACCTATTTTAGGACCGACTTAGTACAAATACAAGCCTCCAATGTGAAACCACTCTACAACAGCCTTTGAAACGACTGAGCTGCGTTGCGCAAACCGAATGACATTCTGGTAAATTCATATAAGCCAAAGGGAGTTGTTACTGCTGTCTTCGGAATATCTGCCTTCTCGATAGGAATTTGGTAAAATGCCTTCCGTAGGTCCAGCTTGGTTAAGACCGTGGCGCCTTCTAGTGAGAGAGCAAAATCTTTGATGTGGGGGATTGGATATTTATTCGGGCTGGTTTGGGCTTTTAGTAGCCTGTAATCCCCGCACGGACGCCAGCTATGAGCATCGCCCTTTGGGACCATGTGGAGCGGCGTAACGTAAGGACTGGAGGATGGTCTGATTATGCCCAGCTTGAGCATATTGTCAAACACGTCCTTCGCTACCCGCAACTTGTTAGGATGTAGACGACGCGGTTGAGCATGAACTCGGGGTCCAGTCGTCTTTATGGTATGAGTGGCATTATGACTGACAGGCTCGGCATACGTAAAAGGCGATAACAACGATTTGTATTTCTGTAGTAATTTTTCGTAGCCATTCGCTTTAGGTACTACAGTTATTAAACCAATAGTATGGTGCCTTGATATCAATCCGCGGCGTTGTAGATTCGTACGTGCGTCAGTGAGCGTACGCGAAGATAGATCAACCGAAAGGTCAAAATGTGCTAAGAAATCCACGCCTAAGATTGGCATTTCAACATCGGAGACTGTAAAGGTCCAAACAAATTCTCGTCGTAGTCCGATGTTGAGTGACATTACTCGCTCACCGTATGTGCTAATTGATGTGCTGTTAGCGGTCTGTAAATTCAATAAAGCTTCCATAGGTGATAACGTTGACTCATCACAATTTTTGAACTGTACGACGCTGATTTGTGCACCGGTGTCGACTAAAATATCAAGGTTGCTGTTCCGGTCACGAATGTAAAAAAGGCGATTTCTATTGTCAACCCTGGCAGCCAGCGCCTCTAATGGTTGCCAGGCAGGCCAATTTGTCTGTACGTCTGTTGGGAATGTGTTTCGGAAAGCACATGGCGGCTGACACTTCCTAGCGCGCGCCAAACACCTCATGGTACCAGCAACTACCATGTTGACTTCGACGAGGGCGACGTGACGATGAACGCGGCCTACGGTTATGGTACCGGGCAATTGAATTTTTCCGACTTCTTGTAGACCTATTTTGAATTTCATCAAGCCGGAGAGAGAGTTTCTGTATTTCTGATGTCAAAAGTTGTAATTTCTGATTGAAATCCGGAGTAAGGTCGTCTGACGGGCTTATGGAGGAGACTTGCCGAGTAGGTGTGGTGTCTGATATTTTGTCGGCAATCGTTCCTAACTTTTGTATGTCAACCTCGTCTGTGAGCGCGGCTAATATTCGCACAACGTCAGGTTGTAGTTTGTCGAGCCACATTTGCTTCAGGACAGTCTCAGAAATGGTATTGCTGCCGAATAAAGATTGCATTCGGCGCAAGTGTTGGGACGGTTTGCTAGTCCCTAAAGTTAAGTTAGTTAGAAGGTCCTTAATTCTACGCTCCTCAGAGCAACCTGTGCGGTGTAATATGGCTTGCCTGAGTACTTCGTAAGGCTTGTCAGTCGGAAAACTGGTGAGAATATCTGCTACTTCTGCAGGTAATTTTTCAACGACAAAGGCAAACTTGGATTGCTGCGATGTGATGTGTCAAGCTTGGAATATCGCATCGAGTTGTATAAACCAGGTCTGTGCGTTAGAATTGTATGCAGGCATTTCTAGTCTTATGCAGCTTCAGACTGGGGAACTGATCAGCCATGTTGAATTACTATAATTTTTTTAGAGGGAAAACGAACATTTTTCGCGCCTTTTCTGTTTCCGCTTTCACGGTCAGAGTAGACTTGAAAGTTGATAATCACCGATTACGTAGATGTAGATGTAAACGTTGGTAGTTAGCAAATTTTGTTTGTTGTTAATTTGTAGGTGCTGTTAACTGAAACGACGGGGTCTTCAACTTTGTTGGCTCGCAAACGTCGGGGTTATCAATTTTGTTGGTAACGTCGAACATCGGGGTCCACAATTTTGTTGTAGACTGGCGAATGTATGTTGATTTATCAGAAGGATTATTTATGTGCGTGTTCTAAAACATTCATCCACAACAATTAAAGAGAGAAAGAGCAGTGAAGACAAAACATGCAAGATGGATCAAAGTAAAACAAAGATTATTAAAGGCATAAAAATAACATCAATTTATGTACAATTTACATATACATATACTTTGGATATATTTGTGTAATTGAGGATAGCTAAGTTAATTTATGAAGAGTGTTTTGTGGAGTTTGAACGTGTGTAAAGCTTTTGTCGAGATTTGTGCACGAAATTAAACTAAGTAATTAAACGTAAATAAAAATGTCTCCTGTGCAAGTTCAGTCCTTAGTGTGTGTGCGTAAATTATTTTGCATTAATGTTCAGAGTTGGTAGGAGTTGCGTACCGTTAGTTGTGTTAGAAGTTTGTTTGGTTAATTACAAATATTTGTTTGGTAGTATGTATATATTACTTTCTGAAGTATATTGTAAATGATTGGATTAAAAAGTGATGTTTATTTTGATGTGACTATATACACATGGGGGATGGGATGGCGAGAATTTTAAATTTGAATTAATTTTTTTCCTATGTGCTTTGGGTATCTAGCCGATTTCATTTTGTTACTTCATAAATAGACAAACAAACAAAAAACCTAAATGAAATCGGCTATACTATAGAGCCAAATGAATTTTTTTTTAAATTTAAGTTTAAATGTTACAGGGTCTTCTCTTTTTCGTGCGCATGTGTACTCACATCAACGTAAACATCAATTTAGTTCAAGGCTATGGCCTTGTTTTTAGGCCTAAAGGACGAAACATGTCACACGAAATTCGTATATATATATATATATATATATATATATATATATATATATATATAATTATTTACCCGCTGCCCAACGCAGCAAGATGTGGCAAAAGGCCGAGTTTAAAAGTGGGGTATCCGACTATTTCCTATAGACCACGTAAAAACGGAGTTTTTCCTGAGACGAGATTCTGCCCTTCGGCAGAGCCTCGTTGGGGGATCCCTCTGACATAAGCCAAATTTTATATATATATATATATATATATATATATATATACTATATATATATAGATAGATAGATAGAGAGAGAGAGAGAGAGAGAGAGAGAGAGAGAGAGATTATATTAGTATAAAATAGGGAAATCACTATCACCTTAGAATGTGGTAGGGATTTAATAAGTAATTGTAAGTAAGATAAAGAGAAAAGTAAAATAAGAAAGAGAAAGTTTATAGTCTGGAGGTACTTTAAGATAAAATGCAAAGTCATAAATGCGTATTTTTATAACACACAAAAGGTCAAGGACGGAGAAGTTTTTGTTTTTTCCTAAGAATAAAGAAATTACATTTGGTTAAATACCAAGGCTCTTGTATGTCGCACGAATTTATTACTTTCAATTTAGGACTGTAAAAGAAAAATAGAAACAGTATCAACATAAGAAAATCATATGAAAAGAGATATTTTTTTTTAAGTTCTGACTTAGCATCACGTCTTTAGTTACTTTCTCACCGCCCTAAAATCACATTCCTCTGTCTTTTCTATAAATACTTTTACTCTTACTAGATTGCTTACTAATGTAGGGATCCTTCTACCCGGGGTTTTTGTTAAATGTCAAAATTCGGAGTGTCGGGATTCGATAACATAAAATATTGTTGCAGGACTGCTCGTAATTCGGCCGTTTATAATAACCCCATAATTTTCATTGAAAGAATAAAATCCAGTAGGAAAAGACAACTTAGTATCAACAAATAGACATTATATAGCGACAAGAATACAAGAAGTTGGTTTAATGCATTGAATGTGTAATGTTTTTTTTGTTTGGTTGTGTGTGTGTATAACGTGTTTTAAGATTTCCAGTAGCACACCGATACTAATATTAGCATTAGTGTAGCCATTGATACACTAACTCTGAATACGAATATTAAACGACGAAATACGCGAGCGTAACAAACAAAACATTTAAAGGCAAACAACTTACGTATATATATTCAAAAGATTTACATATGTCCCAAAACAAATGATTGTCCATATTGTCCCAAAGGAACGAGGAGGTTTACAGAACGAGAACGAAGAAATAACATACCAACTTTATGGCTTTTGATCGTCCGTAGATAAGTGAATAGAAATTACTTTTTTCTTTCGCTAGGCCGTGCACATGTTGACCAGTTTCCACCCTGTGTGGACACCCTGGTGGTCAGGAAGGTAAAGCGGCCGTTCCTCCAAGCAAAGACAAAAAGGGACAGAAGAGTTCTACTCTCTAAAAGGGGCCAAACTTCCATGAACTCAACCCAAGGGAAAACAATTGTGATCTCCCTACAATATATACAAAGACTGGTAAATGATATCGCGTACTGCCTGTTCAACAATATAACGGGAGAAACTTGGAAGTGTAGCGGTACCCCGAGCGCCCCAGTATCACACAATGGTGAATGAGGTCACAAGAGGCCCGCTAACATTTTTGAAGACGTTAAATCTGACGGTGAAACAATATAGACGACAGAACGAGGATATATATGATATATGCTAATTTATTCTAGAAAAAGAAATAAAAGTGGTCGGACGGTAGAGACGCGGAAATTCTAGTGCAGGCATTGATGGTCGAGGTTGGTGTTGGTAGTTGCCAGGATGATCGCTGTTGGTTGTTGGAGTTGATGTTGGTTGTTGCCAGGATGATCACTGTTGGTTGTTGAAGTTGATTGTTGGCCGGGATGATCGCTGTTGGTTGTTGCAGTTGAAGCTGATGTGGGTTGTTGCCAGGATCATCACAGTGGATTGTTGCAGTTAATGTTGGTTGTTGGCAGGATCATCGCTGTTGATTGTTGCAGTTGATGTTGGTTGTTGGCAGGATCATTGCTGTTGGTTGTTGAAGTTGATCGTTGCCAGGATGCCACTTGTTGGTCGTTGCTGGGGTGCCAACTTGACGTGTTGGGAAGGAGAGAAAAGCTGGCGTTGTTCGGGCATGTCACAGGTCCAGTGCAGGCGTTGCGTGTTTGCCGGTCGAGTCCGATATTAGTAACCTCCCCTATTAATTACTAACATAGTGTACGGGAAAGGTTAAGGGCGACGTGCAGGCAGCCAGTAGGGACGGAATGCCTAGAGTCGAACAGGGCCAAGGAGCCAGGAGTAGTACAAAAAGAGAGAGAGAAGAAGGAAAGTTCCCAACTATCGCTCAAGTTTGCAGAAAAAAAAAATGGGAGCGTAACTTAATACGCAGCCCGGTGATCGACGTTCCTCACCCAACGAAGGCCAGGGGCCTGCGTATCCGACCGTTTCAGTCGCCCGACCCCGATTTAGTGAGAAGCCATTGTCTTGTGATAAGAGAGACCGGCAAGAGAATTGGATAAGCTAACAGTAAAGTCTCTATAATAAAATACGACGAGGTTAGCTAAAGGGAACTATGGCCTAAAAATGTCTAGAAGTATATTACAACAAGGTTTGTAATATAACTTAACTAAAAAAGGGACTTGCTAGTCTCTCCAACGGGTTAACAGTGTATAGGGAGCACAAATGGGAGGTCAAGGTCGAAATGACCCGTTCTCTTAATTTAAGGAGCGAAAGGAGGAGGTAACTCCGACAGAAGAATGATTTATTCTCCCATTTTTATTTCCCCCATTATGGGCATTATTATATCCGTGATATAATAACATCGTAATTCATGGACGGAATTCCCAAAAGGCAAAGGAATGATAAACATACTTTGTTCTCAGAGAGACTTTTATACCACTAAGAGACACAAAACTATATATATATATACATATACGTATATACACGTGTCGCACGTGGAAAACTATATATCTACACAGTGAACAGAGGGTAAGTAAAAACAATATGTAAGGGTTTTACATATAATATGGAGATTCTTCTGTATTTCTGAAGAAGTCATGTTTAGGGGTGCAGATTTAAACGGGCCGGGTTCATCTACTATGTCGCAGGCGAGGACATATTCAACGAAGGGGAAACGGCAAGTCTTGGGTTTTCCCAAATTGTGAGCCAGAATTTCTTTCTATATTTGAGGAAGATATATTCCCAAAAAGAACCGGCACCATGGACTTGTAAGTTGTAGCATTTGGCAGCGGACGGAAGCCGGAGTAGAATGAATAGACACGTGTGTCTTGGCACCAATAGGTTTACTGACTGAATGACTGGCCACTTTCGCCACTGTAGGAAGTGACGTCACTACGCGGCGTCACGTGACCCACAAATATTCATAAATAATTACATCGGTCACACGACTACATGCCTATCCAGACACCTTACGTTACACCTATCTGATCACAGTTCTATTAAAATCCATTTAAACACACACACACAAACCCACCAGTCTCCATCCGAAACATACTAGTAGAAAATACAAACATAATAACCTCATCCACATGTAAAAAATATT